GTGCTCCTTTGGTTTGTCTCCATCATCAGCTTTGTGGATAGATGCTCTTGCACAACAGTCTGTATGTTTTCCTGCTGATATGCCTGCTTCCAACAGTGTTGATGAGAGTGTGCAATGCATCTTCGGTTGGTGGTTCCGTTTTGGCTGTTCCATATATTGTTATTGGGTCTTATGTCTCCCTTGGAGGAGCCTCCTTGGGAGATTCCGATCAGAGCAGATCTGCTTTTGAAAGCTCCACAACCTGAACCCCATCACAACCCTATGGCATAGCAAATGTTGACAAGCCGCAGTGTGTCAGACAGGTGCTACGCAAAGGTTGTAACCTTCCCAACACCCCAGCATAAATTCACTGACCTTGGCGCTCGAAGGGACCAAAAGGTGAGAACATCGCTGCTGGAGATAGCCATGCCGCTGTTCCTACCACAGAAAATAATTTCTTAAGAGAAGGAATTTCAATCTTCAATGAAAGCGATTGACGATTGCGTCAAGTCTTTACTATTTGTTATTATAGCTTGGCGGAAACGATGTGGAAGTGAGCCTTCCAGAGAAGGGCACTACGGAGACCACATCCTACCCGCAGGGAGGTATCATGTGGAGACACGGATATGGACTGACCCAGGCCTGGGGTAGTACTACATATGGAATGGGTCTCTGAGACAGGTCCTACCTAGGAGTAGGGAGGAATGGCTGCCAGCAGAGACTGACAGAATGGTCTGTCAAAGGGAAGAGATGGGTTCACAGAGAGGGAAACCTTACCGTGGAAGAATACACGTATGGGATCGCCCGAAGGGGATCAAGCCATATGGACACCTAGCCCAGTAAAGGGGCTGACCGGAGACATGGCAAGCTAACACGATACGGGGCCTGGCGTCAGACTGCTCTGCCCAGTCTGACTGCCGGAGGTGCTGGAGGATACTCAACCAGGGTTTGCCATCTGGGTAACTCTACTGGAGGAGGAAAAAGGTCCTCACATCCCCGAGTGAGGGGGAATGGCGCAGCAAGCATGACACCAGCTGGCTCTTCCCGCCACTTACCTGTTACCCAACACACGGGAAGAAACTGGCTCAACGCGAAGACTGTAAAATCTTGTGAAGGTGTTCGGTGTCACTCAGCCCACAGCTCTACAGATGTCTGCCAGAGAGGCACCGTACACCAGCGCATAGAAGGAGGCACCACTCCGTGTGGAGTGAGCCCTCACCCCCAGGGAGCACGGCTCACCTTGGGATTGGTACATCAGGGCGATAGCATCCACTACCCAGTGGGCCAACCTCTGTTTGGAGACGGCCTTCCCTTTCTGTTGAACTCTGTAGCAGACAGAGAGCTGCTCAGAGCTTCTGAAGCTCCGGGTGCTGTCCATGTATATGCGCAACGCTCTTACGGGACACAGCAAGGGCAGCGCTTGCAGGTTCATCACCTGACCGCGAAAAGGCGTGGTGGGAACCTTCCAGGCCAGGGTCTCAGGACCACGTGAGAGTAGGCTGGCCCGAACACAAGGTAATCTTTGCTCAGCGAAAATGCTTGGAGGTCCTCGACCCTCTTGATGGAAGTGAGTGCAGTCAGGCCACACACACTTTCAAGGTGGAGGGTGACAGCCTACTGTAACAAAGTTCATAGTCACGGGAAGAAGGAGGCGGGAACCGGCAAACATTTAAAGACTTTAATAAAATAAACGAACACAAAATGAAAGTAAAGCGGCAGCCCCTCGCGGACAACTGCTGCACACAAAACGCAACATAAAATCCAGGCCTGGTCCTCTCTCGTCCAACACTGTCATCACTCCTCCTTTTATCCTTTCCGAGCTCCTCCGTGGGACTCGAGACCGGTGAGTGGCGCAGGTGGAGCATTAGCATTTACTCCACTGACCTCGCTCCATTCCCACGGCTCTCGGCCCCGCCCCTCTCGTCACACACCCCCATCGCCCCTCGCAGGCCGGGGGGTACCCATGAGACTGAGCTCTACTCCCCCCTCTGGGGGAGCCAATCACGGCGGCCGCAGCGTACCTGGGGGCTTCCGGAGCTCCTCCGTGGGACTCGAGACCGGTGAGTGGCGCAGGTGGAGCATTAGCATTTACTCCACCGACCTCGCTCCATTCCCACGGCTCTCGGCCCCGCCCCTCTCGTCACACACCCCCATCGCCCCTCGCAGGCCGGGGGGTACCCATGAGACTGAGCTCTACTCCCCCCTCTGGGGGAGCCAATCACGGCGGCCGCAGCGTACCTGGGGGTAAGGACAGACAGACGAGGCGAGAGAAAAGGAGAAGGAAGGATGAGGAGAGACAGAGACGAGAAAGGGGAGAGAGACACACTGCCACTCGGACCTCCACCAGCTTGGTAAACTCTTCCGCGATGCCAGGCGGCGGCACTGGACAGCCCTCGGTGGATGTTCGGTTCGGGCAGCTGGCAGGAGCCCCCCGTTCCCTGCTCCTCCCCATCATGGTGGATGGCAGCAGGCTCCGCTCCCTCACGGATGGCAGCCGTCCCTCCACAGCCCAGGTGGCCGGCAGCGAGTTTGTCCGCCCCGAGCCTTCATGGCGGAAGACTGCTCTGCCATGCTCGATGGCACCTCGTGTTTGTTTACTTTATTAAAGTCTTTAAATGTTTGCCGGTTCCCGCCTTCTTTTTCCTGTGACTACGAACTTTGTTACATTGGTGCCGAAACCCGAGAGGAAGGAGGGACACGCTGCCAGAGATCCCTCGCCACTGTGGTGAGTCCTGGCAAACATTTAAAGACTTTAATAAAGTAAACAAACACAAAATGAAAGTAAAGCGGCAGCTACCTGGAGGACTTAGGGGCCGGCTGAAACACGGGAAGGCGCCGCGCTCCTGCGCGAGGCTCGACGCGCCGGCCTTGACATAGTCTTGGCATGGGGTGGAGGGTGCCCTCAGTGACAGGCAGGCTGAGGCACAGCCCGTGGCGGAACGGTGGCAGGTGGAGGATCACGCCGAGGCAGGATATGCTGGATGGCCTCAGTCTGTCTTTGTACTGCCGAGACCTTGCTGGGCGAAGTCCTCGACATTGTTGCTGAATAGCCCAGCCTGGGAGATGGGAGCATCGAGAATGTCACTTTGTCAATGTCACTCATCTCAACCAGGCTAAGCCATAGATGTTGGACCACAAGAGTGGACATAGCCTTCCCGAGGGACTGCGCCGTGACCTTCATCGCCCGGAGGGCGAAGTCAGTCATCATGCACAGCTCCCGCATCAACCTCGGGTCGGTACTACCCTCTTGCATTTAAGTGCCCTGGCTTGGTGGACCTGCAGGATTGCCCTGGCATGCAGGGCAGAGGCAGCTTGGCCCGCAGCACTGTAAGCTTTGGCGGTGAGAGCCGCCATCAGTTTACAGGCTTTAGACGGGAGTCGAGGACAATTTCTCCAAGTGGCGGCGTTTTGCAAGCAGGTGCACAGCAACTGCACTTTCCACCTGGGAAATGTCAACGTACTCATTAGCCGCTCTGCCTAGGGAAGACGAGTGGCTTCAGGCCGAAAAAAGGGGCTGTCCACAACTTTGTCCGCTCCTTATGCACTTCCGGGAAAAGCACAGCCGTCACTTCCGGGTCCGATTCGGCGGTGGCGACAACGCCCTAGGGAAGCCTTCATCTTGAGAGGACGATCGCCCATCCTCTGATGCTGCTATCGACTTCTGATCCTCTATCGGCGCGCCGAATGACACGTTGGGCACACCGTAAGATGGCACAGCAGAATCACTGGGGAGCCGCAGAGAACAGCTGTTGTGGGAGGAATGAGAGGTCCACGGGGACTGGCCCAGCGGAGAGGCTCTCACTGTAACCCTCAGATCGCTCCCAGAGCACTAGCCGACGGTTCTCTGCTCATGGCAGAGAAGCCAGCGCGGGTAGTGACAGAGGGAGACCCTCCCATCCCCGTGAGGAGAGAGAGGCTCGATTGCAGCGCTGCCAAGGTCACATGCTCACAGTGAACGCATAAACCATCCACGAACACAGCTTCAGCATGCTGGATGCCCAGACACCGAAGACAACGATCGTGGCCATTGACGGAGGATGGGAAACGACCGCAACCAAGAGGACATGGACGGAACGGCGTCTTTAAAAAGACGCGAGCCGTCCGTGATCAGAAACTGCTCTTTTAGATGAAGCACCCAGGGGAATCGCTGAATTAACCGGGACGCCGCTGATTGTGCCATAACGCCACCCAGAACAGCCTCTTCTTCTAGCAGCAGAGAGAATTTGCCTGGTGAATCTCGAACTGTGTTCATTCACTCGGCTCCAAAGCAAAAATCTGATGAGTGGATGCACCTGTCGTTTATTTATACCCGTGCACGGGGAGTGGCTCAGCATGCAAAATCCACTAGCCAAATTTCATTGGCGTTTTCTCTTAATCAGAGAGAATTCGGGCTCCCAAGTAAGACCCCATATGTTGTCACAACATAACTCGTAGTGACCGACAGATAGGGAACTAGGGTTATATTCGTGACATAAACATTTTACTTAGATACTAGATATGATGCTGACTGCCATAATGATCAGTGTTGTTTGTCACTTATATGTAACAAAAATTTTGTTAAGTAATCATAATCAAGTAATCATTTACATAATGACATTACATAATGTATATTTTGAATACAGTACAACAGGTGGTTGTACAACATCTGGTACAAATGGTCCATTTCAGTTTAATTTTCATTTTACTACTGTTCTTCCAAAATTGATGTACCACATTTCTTGTATTCTAAAAATACAAGACTATTATTATACATGTGAATGTGTATTGGAGAATCGACTGGCTGTTGCCCAGCCTTTTGAGGCCACCCGATGTCTAAGCTTAGGTGCTCAGTAACTTGTTTGGCAAAATTCAGAACATATTTGTCCTTTTTAAACAGTAGGCTGTTATTTTAGAAAAATAACTTTCTTTTCTTTAAGTTGTTCTGGACAAGATTGTCTACTATTGTCTACTACTTTATGTACTTTATGTAGTTTATGTGTAAATATGAATGAAACATAAGTGCTTGCATTCCCAAAATGTAGTCTTACAGCAACACTTGCCAGTGTCGGGGCGGCGAGTATCCCCAGTGCTGGACTGGTCACCATGTTACTCATTCTGACAGCCGTTGGACTTCCTACTCAAGATATCAGTCTGCTAGTGGCTGTTGACTGGCTTCTGTGAGTATTCTGAATCTAGACTTATTTGATCCAGATTGGGACTTGTAAATGTTAAATGAAAGCCTTCCCTGAAGCTGTCACTGTCATGTTTAAGATTATCCTACTCTTGTTCAGGAAATATGTGACTGCTAAACAAAGCATTTCATCTTTTTTTCCCTCAGGGATCGTTTCCGTACCTCAGTTAATGTGGTTGGAGACTCATATGGGGCTGGCATCGTCTACCATCTGTCCAAGGCAGAGCTGGATGCTCTGGACGCCCAACATGCGAAATCTGATGACATAGAGATGACCAAGACCCAGCCCTACTATGATGACCTCAAAAACCATCATGAAAACAACTCCAACCAGTGCGTCTATGCTGCTCAAAATTCTGTCTTATTAGATGATTGCAAGGTACAAGTCACGCTAATGACATAGAGACAGCTACATAACACATCCCTGCATGTCTCTTTTCTGATATCTTTTGCATGTTAGCATATATGTATATACACAAACATTTATGTGTGTATGTACACATATATGGTAGCTACAGTATAATTGCATATGTACTCATTTCTTTGCTTCTTTTCTTGGAGCATATTTTGAGCATACTGCAACATAATACTGTATGTTTTGCAGTGCATCAAAATATACATCAAATCAAATAATTCATGATTATTTTTACCATTAACTGTGCAGCTAGCAGCTTTTTCCTACATCAGTTATTTAAATATTATGTGCAGAATGTGCAGTTTAAGTTCAGTTGAGATCCATGAGTTTAATAATAAACTACAAGCTAACCCTATGAAAGCACCTTTCCACCAGCAGGCCGAATATTCAAAGCATGGTGTGGAATGGTCCCAGTTGCATTTCCGCTTGAGCATGATATGAATGCTAACCATGCTGCGTAAAACCTGCAGTGACGTGATAATGTGTTTGTTACGAAGAGCGCTTCTCTTACTCTCTCTTCGGGCCACCAGAGGGCTCCGTCACAAGGGTACTAGTTTACTCCCCGCACTACATTTCCCATCAGCCCTGTACCTGTCACTAATCATTCTCACACACCTGTTCCCTATTACGTTAGACTATTTAATGAGCTCTTTCACCCAGATTCTCTGTGAAGTCTTGTTTTGCCTTGGTGAACATCTCTGAGCGTTATTCCGGTTACAATGGACTGCCTTCTGTTATTACCTCTGCCTGCCTTTGTCTTTTGTTGATTTGCTGCCTGCCCCTTGGACTTGTGCTCTGGATACTGGACTATCGACTTTGGATTGCCGCCTGCCCTGACCTAAGACTGTCTCAGTTTCTGAACGTTATCTGCCTGCCCCGATCTCAGGTCTGTCTATGATCACCATTCTGTCTGCCCTACGATACTGCCTAATCTGTGTCTTGACCTCTGCTTGTTTGATTAAGTTTCAAATAAAACTGCAAATGGATCCCAGCCGTGTTGATGAATCATTACAGAAGACTTCGCCACAACATGATCCAGCAGCGATCTATCATCTCTCTTCAGAGCTGTCTGCGCAAGCGACACAACTAGCCACTCATCATCATCAGCTGCAGAGGCTCACTGCACTCACGGAGGAATTAGTCAAGACGTTACAGACACTGCACGTTTCTCCATCGAGCTCTCTGTGCCTCCAACTAACGCTGCAATAGCGGTCACCTCAGCACAAACCTCCAACGTGAGTCCCCGCCTAGCTTTCCCTGAGAAGTATGACGGTAATCCAGCTCAGTGCAAGGGGTTTCTTCTCCAATGCACCCTGTTCGTTAATCAACAACCAACCCTGTATGCAACAGGAGGGGGGAGGATTTCCTTTGTTTGTTCTCTACTCACTGGTAAAGCACTGGAGTGGGTGACAGCAGTATGGAAGGAGGACAGATCTCCTTTTCCCTCATTTACAGTCTTTCTTCAACGTTTCCGGGAGGTCTTTGATCATTCAAGGGATGGTCGGTGTGCAGATGAACAGTTGCTAACACTAACCCAGGGGAGGAGAACTGCGGTGGAATATGCTTTGTCCTTTCGTACGCTCACCGCACAAACAACATGGACCGAGGATCCTCTGAAGGTACATTTCAGGAAGGGTTTAAGTCCTGAATTACAGACAGAGTTAGCGTGCCGAGATGAGGGGAGAACTTTAGATCAGTTTATTGAGCTCTCTATTCAGATTGACAATCTTCTCAGATCACAACGCCCCTCGACAAGGACAACTACTATGACTGTTTCTGACACCCACGAACCCATGCAGGTCGACGCCTATCACCTCTCGCCTGAGGAGAGAGATTGTCACATTCATCACCGTCTGTCTCTATTGTGGGGAGCCAGGCCACATGAGACTGTCATGCCCCTCTAGCTCTCGCAGAGACCCCCACTACTCGGGTGAGTGTCCCCATTCTAGCTCTCAATGTTGATAACCAGAGGCGGACAAAGTACTCAACTCCATTACTTGAGTGAAAGTACAGATACTGCTGGCCAAATATTACTCCATTACAAGTAAAAGTTGTAAAGACAGATTTTTACTCAAGTAAAAGTACAGAAGTACTTGCTTTCAAAAGTACTTAAGTACCAAAAGTAAATTTCCTTTTTTTATGTCAATGCACTGTTTTATTGTTGTACGAAGTACTTGCAATACTTCTGAAGCAACTTAGAATGCATTACACAAAAAAAAAAATCAGTCATAAGTTCCCAGAAAAAATAATACTCAAGTAAAGTACAGATACTCAAAAAGTGTACTTAGTTACTGTCCGCCTTTGTTGATAACTGCATTACTGTTCCAGTCACCATCACTCTTCCTACAAGAGCTGTGTCCGCGGACGCGCCATGCTAGACTCTGGGGTGGCTGGGAATTTTATGTCATTGGATTTTTCTCAAGAATGCAGTATCGCTCTTCTAGAATGTCTTTCTCCTTTGGCAGTTGAGGCGGTTGACGGGCGACCACTGGGCACAGGAAAGATAACTCGCATGACAACGAAACTTAGTATGGCAACGGGAATTCTTCATCAGGAGACCATTCAATTTTACATTTTCAACTTCTCATGCACCCATCATTCTAGGATTGCCGTGGCTCCGCAGGCATAACCCAAACATCTCCTGGCAGGAATCTGAGATAATCAGCTGGAATGAGAGCTGTTTTCCCCGTTGTGTTCAGAACATCTCTCCCCTTCATCTTCTAACTGTTAGCGTTACAGATACTGACTACCCGGGGCTCCCCAGTGTCTATCATGATCTAAGTGAAGCATTCAGCAAATCCAAAGCCTCTCAACTGCCTCCTCACAGACCCTCCGACTGCGCTATCGACCTTCTGCCCGACTCTAGTCCCCCGAAGGGCCGCATATTTCCCCTGTCACAACCAGAATCCGAAGCCATGAACAACTACATTCAAGAAGAACTGGCTAAAGGCTTCATCCAACCCTCCACTTCACCAGTGTCCGCAGGGTTTTTCTTTGTTAAGAAGGAGGGCGGTCTCTGTCCTTGCATCGATTATCGTGGCCTCAATGAGATGACTGTTAAATTTCGTTACCCACTACCCTTAGTACCCTCTGCACTGGAACAGCTGAGAACTGCCAAACTCTTCACCAAGCTGGATTTTATGCAGTGCATATAATCTCATTCGGATTTGGACGGGTGATGAATGGAAAACTGCGTTCTCCACGACCACTGGGCACTATGAATATCGGGTTATGCCCTTCGGCCTAGTCAACCGTCCATCTATCTTCCAGTCATTCATCAATGACGTCTTCAGGGACATGCTCAACAGGAATGTTATCATATACATTGACAATATTCTGGTCTATTCCGAAACCCTCGAGGAGCATATCCAACATGTTAGGTCTGTTCTCAAACGCCTAATCCAGCACCAACTGTACGCCAAAGCAGAGAAGTGCGAGTTTCATCTGACATCCCTCTCTTTCCTGGGCTACGTGATTAGTCAGGAGGGAGTAGCCATTGATGAGAACAAGGTCAATGCAGTCCTAAAATGGCCACTACCATCTACTATTAAGGAGCTGCAACGTTTCCTGGGATTCGCCAGCTTCTATCGTCGCTTCATCAGAGGTTTCAGCTCCGTAGCTGCTCCTCTCACAAATATGACAAAGAGGGGTTCTAGTCGTCTTCACTGGTCACCTATTGCTCGCGAGGCGATTCACCACCGCTCCCATCTTACACCACCCTGACCCCAGTTTCCCATTCATAGTAGAAGTTGACGCTTCCAACATCAAACTAGGGGCAGTGCTATCACAACGTCTGGGCTCACCTGCAAAAATGTTTCCATGTGCTTATTATTCATGCAAACTCAGCCCAGCGGAGAGAAATTATGATGTTGGTGACAGGGAGTTGTTGGCCATTAAAGCTGCACTCGAGGAATGGCGTCATTGGCTGGAGGGAGCAAGACATTCGTTCACTGTTTTAACCGACCATCGTAACCTTGAGTACTTGAGAACGGCTAAGAGACTCAATCCACGTATAGCCTGATGGTGGAAAACAGGCTTTATTCAGCTCTGATGTATTTATGATACTGATGCTTTATTGAGTGATTCAGTTGAAGTAATTATTAAGTTTACATAAATTCGCTGATAATCAAGTTTGAGAACATCAGCAATTAAGCACTGCCTGAGACTAAACAAACTTTCAGGGGAATTAAGAATGAAAGAGAAGACCCGTCCTCCTGAGTAGACACATCTTCATCTTTTAGTTTTGAATAATTTACAAAACAGACAGTTAGACCCATATCGTTCTTGTTTTTTTCTTGGTGCATAATAGACAGAAAATCTGCTCCTGTTTTCTGCTGTCTGTTGTGCTTGCATGCTCTGGATGCAAACAATAACTTAACAAAAACTAACCCAGTTTATCTAAAAATGCAATCCATTGTAGAAGCCTTGCAAAGTAACCACTCATTAATGCTTGTACTGTTGTTGTACCTTGTTATTTTTATTTATTTTTAATGAAAAAAAAAATGACTGTTTAGTTGAATGTTATAGAGCAGTCTGTGTATTTGTCATTGAAAAATATCATACCGGTAAATGGTCAAATGGCTTTAGTGTCAAGGTCTATATATCTTGGAGCACAGAATTCTAAATGACAGAAACAAAAGTATTCATCACTATGCAATGTTGTATAGTAAAAATTAATCAACTGGATTTATATTTCCTGAATGAAATGGTCAAAAGCAGAAGAGTGTCAGAGGAATAGGGTAAAGAGAAGAGACCCGGCTGGCATCATTTGCTGAAGTAAACACTGATCACAGGCATTCATTATGACATCAGCACTGGCAGTTAGATTGTGAATTTTATAAGTGTACATTTTAAACATCCACGTCAAGAATGATGCATGTAAAAATAACTATAACCGTAAAGTAAAAAAATAGTTCTAAATCTAAAAGAATCTGGTCTTAACCATTATCTCCCAAACAAAATCTCACTTGGTCTGACAGTGATTGATCTTTTCTGAATTGTTAAAATATTGGTGTCTAGGATGCTGTAACCAGAGAGTGTAGTTTACACTGTTTGTCATTTTTAAAAGCTTAGTGTGCTGTAAATGAATTGTGCTCATAAACTGCTGTTGAGATGATATTCTCACTTGAAACGGAGTAGATGCGTTGAACCTGAAACATTATTATCAGTCGATACATCACAGCAACAAGCATATAGTGGAGTCTACACCACAACAATAATGGTAACAACACAAAGGAACAATACAAAATTGTTTCCGCTATTGGGATCACTTTCAGAACTGAAAGGGAAAACAGCCATCCATCCTACCTTTACATTTTTAAAATCAAAATATCTTTTCTGTTACATTTGTACATTTGCTAAAAGTCTTTGCTCCAAAGCTCCAGAGAGATCTTACATTTACTGTTGAACATTCACATGGATATGACCTCAAATCTGTCAACTCTTTCAGGTAACCTTGGCAGCCACAAATGGCTCAACTGCGGAGTACACACTCGTTGAGGAAGAACCTTGGAAAAACAATTAATGCAAGCACACAGACCCCGGCTCCAAGAGAGAGAGAGAGAGAGAGAAAAAGCAACCTATATTCATGCACATAGAACAAATGGGTTTTGTAGTTTATTTCTATGGTTTCTATTCTTTTCTAACATGTTTAACAATATTATATTGTCTCATGTAACACAAGAATATGAGGCCAAAAGCTCACACATGCAGCTGACATAATGTTATTGAGGCAGTTACATAAATTATTTGTGATGCTAATAAATATATACATAAACTTCCAAACATATGTATTTTGAAAAGGGGTGAAAAATGTGAATTTTTCAGAGGGAGAACAGACAGATAACAAAGCTTCTTACAGAGCCATCGCCCACTGCTTATATGAGAACATGACAGAAACCTGCTCGTCTGCCTCTAGTTCCTTCGCCTTACACTATGACCGCTGAACTACCTTGCACGACACCATAGCACCTCTTGGGCTGAACAAATCTCACAACCACTTCTCAAAAGGGTAATCTAGTGTTGCTAGGATACAAAAGTGGGACGGAGGCGACTGCACACAGATGGAAGGTAAAGCACAAGTCGTGTTTATTTGGAGACCCTCCTCCTCTGGAGCTCCTTTTATCACAGTGCTCACTGGAGTGGGGTTTTTTTCTCTATTCTGTCAAGGAAACGGAAGATAGGGTGTTTCTCATATATGTATTGGTGAATCAGTGGCACAATAGCACAAAAACCTTTCAGGCACATTCAGGCCATTATATTTACCATTCCAGGTCTTACATGAGCTCTTTGTGTCATTCAGAAGTACTGAAATATGCAATGCATGCCTTACATTTAGTTCATTATAAAGCACAAATTGTCTATTTATGTTGTACAACCAAAACAACACTTGAACACGTGTCAGTCATACAGTGAACATACAGCTGATGGCTTCAGTGTTAAAAATCATCATCTTTTGAGATTCCAGAAGTGCATCTTTTAAAAAAATCATGCCTATTTTTATATGATTTGGTGTGGTGTGCTAAACCTGGACTGGCATTATTAACAACTCCATTTTGATTATGAACATGCCCAGAATGTTGAGAGCGTACAACCCTTCTAAATTAGATAAATGCCTTTGCCCACATACTGTATATATTCAATATGTATTCTACAATTGCTCTAAATTTAGCTTATTTTTCCTTCCACTGGTAAGATATAGAGGTATACTCAGGCATATAAAATATATACTCATTTTTTTCCAGGAAAAATTTTGTCAGGAAAAAAAAAAAAGTATTTATACAGTATATATATATATATATTGCTAATGCAGACAGAGATCATTTGTATTAAGGCCCAGTTAGCCTGCTGGAGAGAACTGTTTACCTGTTTTTATAATCCAAGTAGGTTTACACCGTTTTAAATACCTAATGCCTTCATTTCTTTTACTACTAGTGTCTTTTTTTGTTGGACATCTATTTTAAATGAGCTGAAGTTCTTACCTCAGAGAGACATTGCCCCAAGGCTATTATAACTATATTTAAGCAGTTTTTCTTTTGAGCTTTAGAAAATCACAACTAAACTAACTATGATTTTCTGTTACATTTGTACATTTGCTAAAAGTCTTTGCTCCAAAGCTCCAGAGAGATCTTACATTTACTGTTGAACATTCACATGGATATGACCTCAAATCTGTCAATAACTCTTTCAGGTAACCTTGGCAGCCACAAATGGCTCAACTGCGGAGTACACACTCGTTGAGGAAGAACCTTGGAAAAACAATTAATGCAAGCACACAGACCCCGGCTCCAAGAGAGAGAGAGAGAGAAAAAGCAACCTATATTCATGCACATAGAACAAATGGGTTTTGTAGTTTATTTCTATGGTTTCTATTCTTTTCTAACATGTTTAACAATATTATATTGTCTCATGTAACACAAGAATATGAGGCCAAAAGCTCACACATGCAGCTGACATAATGTTATTGAGGCAGTTACATAAATTATTTGTGATGCTAATAAATATATACATAAACTTCCAAACATATGTATTTTGAAAAGGGGTGAAAAATGTGAATTTTTCAGAGGGAGAACAGACAGATAACAAAGCTTCTTACAGAGCCATCGCCCACTGCTTATATGAGAACATGACAGAAACCTGCTCGTCTGCCTCTAGTTCCTTCGCCTTACACTATGACCGCTGAACTACCTTGCACGACACCATAGCACCTCTTGGGCTGAACAAATCTCACAACCACTTCTCAAAAGGGTAATCTAGTGTTGCTAGGATACAAAAGTGGGACGGAGGCGACTGCACACAGATGGAAGGTAAAGCACAAGTCGTGTTTATTTGGAGACCCTCCTCCTCTGGAGCTCCTTTTATCACAGTGCTCACTGGAGTGGGGTTTTTTTCTCTATTCTGTCAAGGAAACGGAAGATAGGGTGTTTCTCATATATGTATTGGTGAATCAGTGGCACAATAGCACAAAAACCTTTCAGGCACATTCAGGCCATTATATTTACCATTCCAGGTCTTACATGAGCTCTTTGTGTCATTCAGAAGTACTGAAATATGCAATGCATGCCTTACATTTAGTTCATTATAAAGCACAAATTGTCTATTTATGTTGTACAACCAAAACAACACTTGAACACGTGTCAGTCATACAGTGAACATACAGCTGATGGCTTCAGTGTTAAAAATCATCATCTTTTGAGATTCCAGAAGTGCATCTTTTAAAAAAATCATGCCTATTTTTATATGATTTGGTGTGGTGTGCTAAACCTGGACTGGCATTATTAACAACTCCATTTTGATTATGAACATGCCCAGAATGTTGAGAGCGTACAACCCTTCTAAATTAGATAAATGCCTTTGCCCACATACTGTATATATTCAATATGTATTCTACAATTGCTCTAAATTTAGCTTATTTTTCCTTCCACTGGTAAGATATAGAGGTATACTCAGGCATATAAAATATATACTCATTTTTTTCCAGGAAAAATTTTGTCAGGAAAAAAAAAAAAAGTATTTATACAGTATATATATATATATATTGCTAATGCAGACAGAGATCATTTGTATTAAGGCCCAGTTAGCCTGCTGGAGAGAACTGTTTACCTGTTTTTATAATCCAAGTAGGTTTACACCGTTTTAAATACCTAATGCCTTCATTTCTTTTACTACTAGTGTCTTTTTTTGTTGGACATCTATTTTAAATGAGCTGAAGTTCTTACCTCAGAGAGACATTGCCCCAAGGCTATTATAACTATATTTAAGCAGTTTTTCTTTTGAGCTTTAGAAAATCACAACTAAACTAACTATGAAGCCAAGTAGCTTTTCAATGGAAGGGTTAAATCATAATAAAGAGGAGGATTTTATAACTGAGCTGATCCAATATGCTACCTCTGGATTTACTTAATCTTAAAAGTTTCTTAGCCCCACCATGCTGCAAAACACTCATAGGCCAACTTTCCATCACTTCCTGTCAGGCTGACCAATCAACATGCACATCCACATACCTCACTATGCCAATCAGAGACTCAGACAAAAAAAAGTACTTTTTCTTTCAAATAAGTGATACATTTAGACGAGCATACTTCTTCCCCGTGTGTGATCTTTGATCACAGGATTCTAAACATTGTTTGTTTTTGCCTTTTTTTATTTTTTTAATTTGTGTATTTGTTTGATGATTATTTTAAACATTACCCTGTATTTGACAAAGCTAAACAAAGATATCAATAGAATGCCACCCCTAATATGTCTAATTAATTTAAGACGTCTCTCTATGATGTCTTGAATACTAAACAGCTCTTTGATGTTCCAGTGTTATAACCCTTGCCAAGAGAATAAATGCTATATGAGCACAAGTTCATGTTGCCACACTATATAGAATCATAATGTGAATTTTAGATGTTGTGAGTGTTGCCCATCAAAAGGCAGACGTTTCAGACTGTTGAGATTGTCTGGTCATTGAGCGTTGAGCCACTCTTGTGTTTTATCTCACTGTTAGATGCATGGAGATTTAGTGTTTTTGCACCAGTTTCTTAAAAAGCATGAATTTTAAAGTGCCTCCGTGCACTTTGTGTACATATTGAAGGCAGAGAGGAACGCTAGTGGAGGAACAGCGGGACCGAGTGCATGGGGCCCAGAGCTACTGTGGGGCCCCTCAACGTCATTTCATCCCCCTCCCCCCAATCTACCCCCCGCTGAGGGGGACCACAGTCCACGATTCCTATCGAGGGATATTGACCCAATGTGCTGTACAGGGGGTCAAGAAAACCTAGCGAAGCGAATGTAGGTAACATTGCATTTTTTATTCCAGTTCTAGAAACATTGAGATGGTGTTTAATTGATGTGATGAAGTTTTAATTAAGTGTTTTTGTAATCCTATAGAAATGTATACCCTCTATGTGCTGCATAAGATAAAATACTATAGTGAAAAGTATAGAAAGGTAGTACTTTGCTTGAGTTTAATTCAGACTAGCTCTCTCAGCAATTTCATATCAATTATTCTATCTGATCTATGTTTGGAATGTTTTTCCCTACATACATTTATGTGTCCCTACATTTCTATGTAATCTAACATCAGACTCGAAAAAGAAGATATTTGTATGTTATTTATAGCATCTCAAAATATTCAGGCTATATTTTTGAAGATGTTATACAATAAAATATTGTTTTAATGTGATATGTAAGATCTTAAAGTTATGATAAGATATGCTGGAATGTGAATTTGAGTATACTTGATGATATAAAGCACACTGTATTAAGTCTGTGTTGAGCCACATCCACAGTATCTGTAAAAACATTTCTCAGTTCCATGCTATCTGTCTTGCACTTGACTTTCCAATGTTTCTGATATATTTTTTAAAAACGCACACACACAAAATTACAGGCAATTGTGAATTTTTTTATCTAAAATAACCCAGGTTTATTATTCTTACTTAACTGAATACATCTGAAACCATCATTAATAGATGATTTCTTACATTGATCTTATACGTAAACCCATCTGCTCCTCTTTTCTCTCACCCTTTTTGTGATGTGATTTTTTATGTAAAGGGAAACTATAGTCAAAAGGAAAGTGGTAAAATAAATGATTTCCTGTTTCATAGCTGTGAAATAAAAGTGTATTCATGCATATCAATATGTGTTGTACCATTGGTGTACATATAGTAATTATAACTAATA